CTCTGGACAACTGTAGACTGCTATTAAGACTGATATGGGTTAAGCCATCTCCGGGCAACTCTAGACTATTGATGAAACTGAGACAGGTCAAGCCATCTTTGAGCAGCTTTAGACTATCATTGAGACTGAGATGTGTTGAGCCATCTCTGAGCAGCTTTAAATTGCCGTATTTGAGACAATCTTTGGCATATTCTCGAAATCCATAGACTACGTCATGCTCCGATCATAGTCAAACCGGAACGCTTGAATGATGAAAATCATACTCATCCTCCGTAGGTTAACCGTATATCTTCAAGTGGTTTTATTCTTAGTCTTTCATTGGGGCTAAGTATCCATACTTTTCCAAAGGCAAAAGCATGAGTCATTAACAATCCGATCGATTTACCTTATCTAGTTTGTGATAAAAGTACGCCCAACATCAAGCTGTCAGATTTCACGTCTAATGATCGTATGTGTTGGGGAAAATAATAGGGACCTCATAGTATGAAAAGTAATAATAATTTTTATATTATAAACCCCGTCCTTGTTGCTTTATGGCAGTTTAAGGTCCCTGCTTTTGTTGTATAAATAATTTGTATCAATAGCTTATAGTAGAAATAGTATTATATTTTTGTAAGAGTCTTGATTTGAGTCCGTTTTGGGTTTCCCTTTATCATTAAAGAAATAACGTGGTACAAATAAATGGGAGGATTATGTTTGACTTTCACTTTGATTTGTCACAAGTTTGCTTGTGAGGACACTTGTCCCTTAAATATAATTACAAATTCAAATTAGGAACACCCTAATCTTCTTGCTAACCCACTTTTTCCATCCCGCACACTATCCCCTGCCGAACTCATAATTACCATGCATGCAATACATAGACTCCTAAAGACGAATTTGGTTTTTGTAGCTACCATTACTTTCAATGCTCATAATAGCTGCTATAGTATTCCAATAAAATAAATTCATCACAATATTTTAAGACAAAGATTTATATAAGGTTGCAACCTTGTACAATAAATGCAAGATACACTTCAAATATCCAATAGAGTAAATGCAAGATACACTTCAAATATCCAATAGAAAGAGTGTTATGAAGTTGGAAAATGTTCTAATTTCTAATCTCAACCTCGACATATATGGATATAAAACAAATATAATTTCAAGTTCTAAAATTAGTGTATATTGTAACAAATTATTTGAACCTTCTATTTTTAATATTTTCAATTTTTTATAGATTTGTACTGTTTTTGAAATTTTAAATGCAATAATTAGGGTTGAACATCGATTTTCAAGCCATTTTAAAGGAACTGCATCTCTAGAAAAAATTTAGAGGTATGTCTTTCTTATATTGTATAAGGTGGAGAAAGTGAGCACCATATACAAACCTCATCCATATTTTAAAGCTTCCTGTTGATAGGAATATTTTCATGTATGTCAAAAATCTGATTTGGCAATTTCAAAACGAATATTATTTAAAAAAGTTCTAAATTTGTTTAAAAATGAATATTGAGCAGATGAAATAAAGGGGCGTAGTGCTCCCCGTTTATTACATTCACAGTACTCGAATACTATTCATACTCTCCGGGGTATTTCTCATTTTGCCTATGTATCCTAGGGGTACATGGGTACTCGCCTCAAAGATAGGCTAATGCTTAGTAGGGAAGGCAATGGGCCGGGCCTGGGAGGGGCAGGCCATTTGTCCTCATAAGGCCGCACAAGCCTGCCCTGACCTTGACCAAGCCAAAAGGCCTTGGCTCATGTCTAGCCCTAGGCGTATCAAGGTTAGGCTGGGCCAGGCTGGACCATATAAAAGACGACATAAGCCAAAAGAAAAAGTAAAGAAAAAATATACCTAGGCTAGGGCTAACTGACCTTGGCCCTGGCCCAGCCCTTGGGCCTTTGTGGCCTAAAGCCTGGGCCACCCCCACAGCCCAATAACTCGGCCAAGTTGCTGAATATTGCTAAAAAAATTGCTAATTTTCATAAAAAAGTTAAGATGTTTATATTTTATTTTATATAGTTTGAATCATTTAAAATCCAATACCAAAGGATATACTGACAAAAAATTTCATATAAGGTACCAACCTTATACAATTGAAGTAAGGCACATTGCAAAAACCATTTAGGAAAGGGTGTTCCGATGCTGGAAAAACTGTCAAATTGATAATCTCGACCTCGAGATGTATGTATGTAAAAAAAATATAAAAGGAAGTTCAAGTCATGAAAATAATGCATCTTGTAACACATTATTTGGATCGTCAATTTTGAAAAATATTTAACTGGTTATATATTTGCTCAATATGCAATATTTTTTGAAGCTTTAAATTTTAAAATTAGGGGTGACAACCGATTTGTTTCGACAAAGTTTAGAAGTGCACCTAATTTCAGTTATTTAAAATGGGTGCAGTTGGCATACAGATGCATCCGTAGTTGTCAAGGTAAGGTGCACCTTCAAATTTTGTCATGGTATATAATTTTGATGTAAAATGTTCTTAATGGTTAAAATCAAGTATATTTATAAACATATGAAAATCTTGAAAATGGATGGTGTAGATAATATGCTGTAAAATGCACTATTTCTGAGACGTAAAATCTTTTTATTTTTCATGGTCATATATCTCGATGTCGAGATGATCAATCAAAGGGCGTTTCAACATTAAAACTATCTTTTCCGATGGATTTTTGAGGTGCAACCGTATTTCTACATTATAAGGTTGCATCCTTATATAAACTTTTTCCATTTAAAATTGATATTTTATAAAAATATCTTAATTTGAAGGAAAAAGTTTATATAAGGTTGCAACCTTAAAATGTAGAATTACAGATGCACCTCAATAAATCCATCGTACAAGATTGTTTTAACGTTGAAAAACCCTCTAATTGATCATCTAAACATTGAGATGTATGGATATAAAAAAAAAAAACATATTTTGAGTCTCAAAAATAATGCATCTTGCAACACATTATCTAGACCGTCCATCTTCAAGATTTTTATATGTTTATAGATCTACTTGATTTTAACCATTTTTGGAGTTTAAAGTTTTATAATTAGATATAAAAATAGATTTTCAAGCAATCCTAAGAATTTTTTATACCAAAATTATATGTTACGATAAAACTTGGAGGTGTATCGTAATTGGATTGTTTAAGGTTGCAACCTTATAGAAACCCCACCTTAATTTGAATATGTTAAAATCTTCAAAGTCATTCCATTAATCCTTAATGAAAAAGACAATAACAATAATATTAAAAAGGATTGTATACAATGAGACTATTTACTTTTGATTATAAGGAGGTCCCAATTACTTGTAATCATTCCTTATGAAATTTGATAGCTTAGATGTGTCACAAAATTCGAAAAAAAAAATTTCAAACTTTGAACTTGTTCAATACAATAAATGTAGCGACTCAATTTCACTATCTAATAGTCAAGATTAATTCTGGACACCTTCTACCAAAAATAAATGATCTTAGTATATGTTTTTTCATATTGAAATCCTCAAATAATACCATTAATTATTAATTAAAAAGATAATTCATGGCTATTGGTTATCAGTTCCTATTGTGCTCATCACCCCCCAAAAGTTATGCCAGTGATACTCTTTTCACAAATTGGCAACCGCAGTTGCATTTTTCCCTGTATATGGAGTGAGATATCGTTCTCGGTTGGCTCGCCCCCACCTTTGTACTACTGGACGCATGTCCTTAATTGAGCCAAGCAATGATTGAGAAGAAAAGCAGTAGCACACGTCTTGCAAACAAAACGACTTTTACCAACGTGAATTGTCGGATTTCAGGAGGGTAATAACCACGAGCACATGTACTGTTCTTCCACGAGGCATATACTATGCGTTTACTCCATCGTGCGGAACATTTATTTAGAGAAATTATTTTATTCGAAAAGATATGGAGACTTATGTTTTCATGAAAGTATGACTTTAATAAAGTAAAATGACAGACCGAGATTTTTGTAATCGACCTTATATAATTAGAAAAAATAGAATGGCGGACTAAGATTTATACAATCGACCGTAATAGTTATAAAAAAGTCATGGTTATGATAATGATTTTAGTCCAAAATTTTGAGAATGAGCTGCTAGATGATTGCTTTGAAGGGAGAAGTTTGAATTTTGAGTTTCGTGACACCTTAGATGGAGCTCAAAATTTTGAGAATCACATAAAAACTACTAGATGTTTATTTTCAAAATAAAAAGTTTGAATTTTGAGTTTTGTAATAGATCTAGGTCTTATAAAATTGGATGGTCTCTATTTTAATATTGAGACATTAAATTTTGTTCTAGTATATAAATAGTTTATTTTAAAAATTATTTTTATTAAGTTTTAGTTTATGGGTTTTAGGATTACATCCCAAATGAGATCTAAAAGGTATTATCATCATATGTTATAGGTATGGGTTTGGTTTCTATAAGGATGCAACATTAAACAATCCAATTAACGTGCACCTCCATATTTTATCATAACATGTAATTTTGGTGTAAAAAGTTTTTAGGATTATCTTAAAATCTATTTTCATAGCTAATGATAAGAATTTTAAACTCTAAAAATCGTTAAAATTAAATAGATCTATAAGCATATGAAAATCTTGAAAATAGATGGTCTAGATAATGTGTTGTAAGATACTCAATTTTTTGTATTTTTTTTTATATTCATAAATATCGATGTCGAGATGGTCAATTAGATGGTTTTTTAATGTTAAAAATATTTATAATTTTTTGAGGTGCATCTTTAATTCTATATTATTTTGCAGCCTCATATAAACTTTTTCCTAGATTTTTAATGTTAAAAACATTTATAGTTTTTTGAGGTGCATCTTTAATTCTACATTTTTTGCAGCCTCATATAAACTTTTTCCTAGAGGTATTGTGATTCAGGTCTTCCAGGCCTGTGTTATGGCCAAGGAAGTAATGAATAGTATACTCTCGCGGTAGTAGAGAATCTTCTCGAATAACGGAGAGCAGCCGTACTCTGGTTGGGGTTACAATCCCCAAATATTAATAATTTTTAAAGATCATCGGCACGGTATAGGCAGCGAGGCAAGTGAGAGAGAGAGGAGCGGGGGAAATGGAGGGTTCAATTTCCTCGTCCAGCACAGTTGCAGTTGCTTCTCCTTCTGCCCTTGATCGCAATCTCAAATCTTTGTTATCTTCAGATGAAAGAGACTTCCTCATAACTCCAACTGGAACCCAGGTTTGCCTTTTTTTTTTTATATATATATTATTATTTTTACCGAATTCCATGCCCCATCTTTTTTTTTCTGCAAATTATTTGAGATATTTTTACAGGTAAGCTCGTTGAATTGCGATTAAGCCACAATTTTAAGGTTATGTGTTGTTGCGATTTTTTCCGTAACCTTTTTTTTTCTCAGATTGATCACTGTAATTTGTAAACTCCATTTTTGTTTGATTCTACTGATGCAATCAAGCCTCAAACGTTAGAAAATTACCTTTTTTTTTCTCTCAGGACTTCGGGCTTCCTTTTTTTTTCCTACTTTATGGAGATTTAGGGATTTGAACGGATGAAACATTTTATTTATGGTTCAGTTGTTATGGTTTCTCTGTTTATTCCACTGATGGAAATGAGAAAGCAAAGGAAATTTCCTTTTTTTGTGTCGTTATCTTTTCTGGGTCATTGTTTGTAGCTTCTTGTAGTATTGTTCCACAATATGCAGTTTCTGTTATGGAATTCTGGATTTACTGCATAAATAATGAGGCTTTCTTTCATTTGAGTTGTTTAGGGTTTGATGAGGGAATTCTTATTTATTTATTTAGGGCTCAAGCGTGGATTTCTTAATCTGTTTTTATTGGAAATCCATTAATTTGTTTATTTCATTGTGAATTAGTGTTATTTTCTAGTGTCAGTTAGGGTATAAAATTAATTGCATTTTTAGGTTGAGGTTCGTCAAATGAGCATCTTTTCCACCTTCATCTTTAGAATTATTGCAAAGGATCCATGGAGTTGGATAGGTAAAAATTTCTTCAACTTTCAGGATTAGAGAAAGTAGCGTTTCTGTCCTTTCCCGATTTACTTAGTAAACATATACTTCCTGGTACTTTATCAATATTTTCTTTTGAGTTCAGATTCTGAGAGTTGTTTAAAAACATTAATGGCTATTTGATGATTTCTCACTGGTGCCCATTCTTTTAAAAACTGTGGATATTAGAGAGTTCTGTTTTTGTTTTATTTTTTTAGGCCTTTGGAAGAGAGTTATGATGTCCAAGAGGTTCCTTCTTTATTTCAGATGGGTGCCTTTAATTTAGCTGGTTGTTGGAAAATAATGGCATTCCCTATTATTTTATGTTTGCAATTCCTGGTACTTGTAGTTCATTTTGGCAAAAGACTTTAAATTACCTAGGAAAAATAATGCAATTTTTGAAGCAAGCCATGGAAGGAAACATCATGGCACCTTAATCTGTGTGAGATTGAACCTTAAAGTCATTTATTGTTTTGTATTTTGGAAAAGGAAAACTAGAAGATGAGAAGAAAAATATGTTTATCTTCCGAATCTTGGTGTTGAATCTGGAAGAACACTCTTGTACGCTATATTGCTCTCATATTAATTTCTTGTCATGGAGTTCAACTTTAGTTGGCAGATGAACTGAGAGCAACTGCCAATGCTTTAGCTTTATCTTTCCTTTCTTGTCTTCCTATTTACTTTTAGTTCCCTTTTACTCTTATTTAGTGATTTTCTTCTGCTATTTGGGGAGGCTGCATGACACACCCCACTGGAGCTATCCTTTTGAAAATTGATGATCTTATTAAGATAAAGTAGACATGGTTGTTTCCATTCTTAGATGTAAATTACATAGAGCAATATCTTCTATTCCTTTGCCACGCTCTTTGTCTTGGCTGAGGAAGGAAAGCGCTTCTGCTCTTCTGCTGATTAGGGGAAAGTATACAGGTGTGAAGAACAAAAAAATAAAATAAAAATTCAAAGAATATTTATTACTAGACAATTTTAAAATAAATTAATGTATACCTTATATGTTGAAATTATTTATACATACAGACTTTGTTCTACAGAATTTTTAAAATTATGGGGGTGTTTTTGCCAAATCTTTAAAATGTCAAGGGAGCTTTTAGAATTAATACTGGCATTGATTCACTTCACTTCGGTTTGGATGTAGAAACCGAATCTTTGGCCAAGGAGGCCTAAGTGAAGTGAATCTTATAACACTGTAGAATCACACCCGGATGAACCTTCCATGCTGTTCAAACAGTGCTTTTTTTCTGCCTTACTTGTATGTTGAGTTATTGGGTAATTTTGGGAACTTTGCAACCACTAGTCTACTATTTTGTTTGGTTTCAAAGTTTCTAGTTGGATGAAATGGTTTCAGGTTAAAGTAGAAGAGCTACATGGAATGACAGTGGGGCTATATTTTGCTGCAAATTGGTACTTTCAGTGCCAAAATTTCACACCTGTCTTGGCTTCTGTTTATGAGCAATTGAAGCAACGTGATGCCAATTTTGAGATTGTTTTTATATCCTGTGATGAGGATCAGAGCTCATTCGATAAGTACCACGCTACCATGCCTTGGCTTGCAATCCCCTTCTCAGATCTCAAGACCAAGAAGAGTCTCAATGACATGTTTCAAGTGGAGGGCATCCCCTGTCTTATCATTCTTGATCAACATGCCCACACCGTTCAGACTGAAGCCGTGGAGCTCATCTATCGATATGGTGTTTGGGCCTTCCCCTTTACTAAAGAGAGAGTAGTTGAATTGGAGTCGGAGGAGAAGGCCAAGCATGAGTCCCAAACCCTCGAAAATCTCATCTCCATTGATGGTAGGGACTTTGTGATCGGACATGATAACGAACAGGTCAGTTTGCATTGCCAACCTTGCTTTAGTGAATGAAGTGGGTTCTGGAGTGAGTCCAAGAAGATATTACTTTGTTATTCTTCTACTTTTTCATTTTCTTTCTCAATTTTTTTTTGGGAATGGTTACCAAAAGGAGGAATCCTCAATCAATCAATCACTTGGGTAAGTTGGTTAATTGCAAGTCACAACTTACACGGCAAGTATCTATGTAATCCTTCATCCTGAATGACTAGAATGAACAAGTTGGGAGGAATAAATATATCAAAGACAACAGATGTGAATACTTATCAAAAAAAAAAAGAAAAAAAGGAAGAAAAAGGAGAGAGAGAGAGAGAGAGAGTTGTGATTGAATGAATTTAATGACCACAATGGAAGGAAATTGCAGGTACCCATCTCTTCTTTGGTTGGGAAGACTGTGGGTTTATACTTCTCAGCTCAGTGGTGCCCCCCTTGCGTCAAGTTCACCCCTAGGTTGGTTTCCATCTATGACACACACAAACAAAACAATGAAGACTTTGAGATAGTCTTTGTCTCATGTGACAGAGACGAAGCTGGCTTCCTCGAGTGCTTCAAGCCAATGCCATGGCTTGCCCTGCCATTTGGGGACGAGAGGATCAAGGGGCTCTCGAGGTACTTCAACATTCAAGGCATTCCAGCCCTTGTTATAATTGGGCCAAACGGGAAGACAGTGACACGTGAAGGGAGAAACCTCATCAACTTACACATGGAGAAAGCATACCCATTTACTCAAGACCATATTCTCTTTCTCCAAAAGGAGATGGATGAGGAGGCGAAAAGTTTTCCAAGGTCTTCACACCACAGTGGCCACCACCACATGCTCAACCTTGTTTCGGCGGCCTCAGGGGGTGGGCCCTTTATATGTTGTGAGTGCGATGAGCAGGGCTCTGGATGGGCCTACCAATGCATCGATTGTGGCTATGAAGTTCACCCAAAGTGTATTAGAGAAGCAGGTAAAGAGAGCAGCAGCCCTAAGAATAAAGACAGAGTGCGTGATGATCCCTTCTGCACTTGCAGTAGTGGGGGTGCTTAAGAGTGAGTTTTAGTTGCCGGTGTTTGGGTCTTTTTCTTCATATTGGGGAAGGACCTATCGTATTCACAATCAAAATCACAATCACAGTTAAAATTGCTTGTATAGGATAGTAGATGCATATGATAGTGTGATCTTTTGTGACTAAAGGAAGTGTATGGGGACTGCTCCATTGCTAAACTTAGTTGGCATGGATGGACAGATAGCTAACCTAGGTCTTAAATTGCCTTATGTATGCTGTACATCTAATTTTATGGTTCAAACGATCCTTTGGAAGGACAATTGTTCCTTTGAGGACGTTTCTCGTTCTTATTCTATGCCTTCGGAAACCATGCCCACATTTTAACTTTTGGCCTCTGCCTTCGATTGTAATTTTATGTTTCTGGCCTCTTCTCATGGGGCTCTTATATTGATGATGAGTGGCATCTGTATTATTTGTTCTCTTTCCTGGTCTACAAGTCTGTGCTGATAGTTCTAATGGGAAAGCAACCAACAACAGGTGTCCCTCTCTGTTTTTTGGGTTTCAGAGACCACATTTAGTAATCAAGGGATCGATTTTCGCACAATTCATTTGTGAAAGGTTTATATGGATGGACAGGGGATTTTGCCAGTCTTTTTGAGTGGATACCATGAATATTTGCTGCATATTTCTTTCTTGTTTCGTGACCATGTGGGCTGGTGTGTTGAAATGGATGGGAACTCGTGAAAGCCTGCCTTAATCTGTATCTCTTAGAAACCATGTGCCATGCATCAAATTTATAGGCAGCCACACCATGCTTCTCTGGGTAGATTAGTCCAAGAAATGCATTTTTGGTTATGAATTTTTATTCTTTGGTCTTCTGATATAGCCGAGGATTACTCCTTGAAACACAAATCCATTTAAAAATGCTGAACTTTTCGCAAAGTTTAGATAAGGCGAGTGAGCTTTAAAATAAAATGATAACGAGAAAGTAGCATCACTTAGGGCAAGTTTAATAACTGCAGGTTCCAGCTCCAGATGCTGGAAGTTCTAGTTTCTTGCAGCACTTCCATGTTTGATAACTTGAAGTCCTACAAGAAACTGGTTTTAAGAAGTTCTTCGACAACTTCTAGCTTCTATCCCCCTTACGGAAGTTTGCATGCCGTATTTTTCAGTAATGTATCGTTTTCTTTTTCGGTTCCCATGTTATTTCTCTCTCTAATCATGGCTCTTGTATCTTCTAACTCACTAATCATGGCTGTTGTATCTTCTAACTCACATCTCTCTAGTTATAACCTTTCTCCGTAGAACTCCTCTCTTTATATACTCTTAACCAGGGTTTAAAAAAATGTAAAAAATATCGAGTCGAGCCCGACTCGTCCAGTTGGATTCGGGAATCGCCACAGAACGAGTCGGTTTCACACATAAAACGGGAACCGCCCGTGTTTAGAGAGAACCGAGTAGTTTTAAACAGTAAACCGCCCGATAACATCATCAATCGGCAGTTCTGACGTCACCATTTCGACACGGACCGTCCGATGACATCATCAACCGGCAGTTTTGACGTCACCATTCTGACATGGACCGCCCGATGATATCATCAACCGGCGGTTTTGACGTCACCATTCCAATACGGACATGTGTGATAAAATCACGTGCCACTTACCACGTGTGAAGTTGCCCCATGTTTCCGCGCGTATATCTTACTTCATACTACATAGGTATTTATAAAGCAAAGTTGAATATCCATCCTTCGATGTGGGATAATTCCCAAACATCATAAAATGAAAGAGGAATGTAAATATATTCTATTAATCAGCAACTAATAATCACATCCAGTGAGACGGTGTGATGGTTATGACTTCTGTTTTTGGCTTTGATGTCCCAAAGGGATGTTACAGTTTGTAGTTTTTGTTGTATAGTAGTTTTTGTTGTATATTTTGTAGTCTTTGTTATATATTTTGTAGTTTTTGTTGTATATTTTGTAGTTTTTGTTGTATATATGTTGTATAGTAGTTTTTGTTGTATATAGTAGTATAAATATTTTTGTAAATAATATAAAAGGTATAAAAAATGAAAAAAAAAAGTTAATTTTTTGTATAGCAGTTAATTTTTGTTGTATATAGTGGTATAATTATTTTTATAAATAATATGAAAGACATAAAAAAATAAAAAATAAAAAGTTTATTCTATTTGAAATCTCCCTCTTTCTACTAACAATCTCTTTCACTAAATTTATTATAGAAACCTAAAAAATTAAATTTTTGAAAAATTGAAGTGTTATTTCCAAAATTTGTATGCATTTTATTCATTTTTACATTTATTTTATTTATTAACTTTTACATTATAAATTATGTAATGTACTATTTTTCTTACAGTTGTCAATAATACATTTTAAATTAGATAATATTATAAAATATTTTTATTTTGTTATTATTTGTCTAATAAAATAATTATGAAATCCAAATTAATAATTATAATTTCAGTATATAATATTAAAATTAGTTAAGTTGTAATAATTTTGGATTATAGTTAGTTTGGCTATAATAATTTGAGTTTTTTTAGCGGATTAGGGTTTTTCGCCAAAACAAGATTTTAATGGCCATTCTTTCATTTATTTAGTCTACTCTTTATTATAGTCCATGTATAATTATATATTTTATCCATGATAATTCTATGATTTTTCTTTTATGTGATGCAAATTTAATACTTAAGTTTATACAGTGAAAGAGCATCTCAGTATTCACAAATTGATGAAAAAAATGAAAGTTCATAATGTAGTACCCTCATTTTTTATTGGATTCCTAAAAAACAACATTTATAATGAATTTTAATAATTTTTTCGGATTTTTTTGAATCTTTAATCCAATCGATACAGCCAATTCCCGATCCGAATCGTCGATTCGCCGATCCGGATCATTTTTGAAGTGCCCGATCTGAGTCACCGATCCGCTTTTTAAACAATTGCCCTTAACGCATTAAAAAAAAAAACTCCTCTTCATAAATTTATTTATTTATTTTATTTTTTATTTTTATTTTTATTTTACGAATTATGAGTCTTTTCTCTTTTGTAACCCCTCAAAGTTTGCCCTTTCTAACTCCCTCTAGCTATGCCCTTTCTCTCTCTAATCAGTGTTAGATGGATGGCAACATAAGCGGCAATATTTAGTATGTGTCCAGGTGCTAGTACATGGCCAAAAAGACCGTACTCCTCATCACTTCCGTGCGGTTTATTACTCTACAAGTATTTTATGTATAATAATTCCCAAAAGTAAATACAACGCTCTTAAGTGACCCAGATGGTAGTAGCCATGTCTTTTAAGTCTATGGTGGGTGTGTTTTTACATATCTAACAAAAGGTTATTTGTAAGGAAAAAGTTTATATAGAACTAAGGCTCTAAACAATCAAATTTGAGCCTACATCAAAAATTTCACTAGAAGAGGTTGTTTTTATGCCCAAATATCTTCAAATTGATCATCTCGGTATCAAGATGCATGTACATGAGAGAAAAATGAATTTCAAGTTTTCGAAATAGTGTATTTTGTAATGCATTTTTGGACCATTAATTTTCGAGATTTGTAAGTTTTCACGAATCTATCGATCTACACTATTTATGAAGCTTTAAACTTTATAAATAAATATAAAAACATATTTTAAGTCTATCACAATGACTTCCAATATTGAAATCACATTTCTCTACACTATTTGAAGGTAGGCTCTAATTTAGGCTCTATACAAACCACACCCTATATGTACTAGGTATATGTGTATATTAAGATGGGCACACTTTATGTTAGAGGCAACGTGGCATTAGTTAAAGGGTGCGGTTTGTATAGAGCCGAGGCTCTAAACAATCAAATTAGAGGCCACCTTCAAATGGTGTTGAGAAATGTGGTGTCAATACTGGAAATCTTTGACTAGCCTTAAAATATATTTTCAAAAATAGTGTAGATTGAGCAAATCTATAAAAACTAGAATAACTAAAAAATTGATGGTCAAAAAATGCAGTACAAGATGCACTATTTCCAAAATTTGAAATCCATTTTTTTTTTCAAGTCCATACATCTTGATGTCAAGATGATCAATTCAAAGATATTTGGGCATCAAAACAACCTCTTATAGTGAAAATTTTAAAATAGGCTCTAATTTGATTGTTTAAAGCCTAGGCTTTATATAAACTTTCCCCTTAATTAAAAATAAAAACTGCTATAAGGAAGAGGTTGAACCCATGAGCTTTCAATCATAATTATTCTCAAGACTGGACAAACTTGTAGTCTAATCGGTCGGGCTATTAACCGATTCCTTTGATGGTCTGGTCGTTGGTCAAAATTCGATTAAAACTATTGTTTGACCTGTTAGACTAGCCGATTTTAACCAATTTGACCATTTAAATAAAATTTGTCAAATCTTTGATATATTTGTATTTTTAAACAATGATATCTATTTTCTTTCCTTTTTCTAAAATCCGATCTAACCAGTTTGAGTAATGGTTGGATCAATTTTGACTAAGCAGAATCCTCACCGTTTAGTGGCTCGTTTGTACTGATAACATTGCTCTCAATCATGCATATCCACTCTACCAAGATGATTTTTTTTTATTTTTTTTGACAAGAGTACTTAGAAATTTGACGTATTTATTTCACGCATTCTAATACATGTTATTAGAAAGATTCATTTCTAATCTTACACATATCATGTATTCCTTATTGAACAAATAAAGTAAACGTGATACATAAACCATATGCACATGATTCATATCAAGATAAACAATAATCTAAATTTAGTAGTTTAAAACATGGAAGATGCTACGATACGCCTATTCGTGTATTGCTACAGTAAACACCGAACGGCCCAGATCGAATCTAGGCCGATCTGACGATCACAAATGTCCAGTAGTGTTTTATTTTTTATTTTTTTATACATATCGGAATGACTTGAAATTTGAAGCGTGTGTTCATAAAAAATATCTTTTACATGAAATAAATTGAACAAAATACCCCCGAAAAGTTTCAGGGGTATTTTGGTCAATTTAGTTTTACAAATTAGTTTTTTTATATTTTTATTAGGTGCATCTAACTAAGATGTACACACACTATTGAGAATTTTATCATGAGCCTAGAACTAAATTTAAACTAGACTCATGTTTTTGATATTATAAAGTGGTTTCATCTCGTTCTAATGAGTTTTGGTCAGTCAAAAGTACCACATAAAAACATGTAAAATCCTTGAAATTCAACTATCAGATCCATCATACTCTTATACAAGGTAAAAGATGCTCTAATAATTCATTCCAATTACTAAAGAATTTTAGAAATTCTCAATCAAGATTGTGATTTTTTAACACTATCAATCATCAAATCCAGATCGATATTTCTACTTACTTACAAAAGAGGCGCCGAACACCGCCACGCGAGAACACTGTCCAAAGAAGAGGAGAAGGGAACCAAGAAGGTGAGAGGGGGAGCCCAAGAAACGGAAGGGGT